TCTTGTTGATGTTAATCTCCCATTTGTTCTATGGTAAAGAACAAGGAGTTAAGAGATAGTTCAGGGAAGGCATAAAGCACAATTATCACACATGTATGATCAGAATGTGTTATAGATAGTTCAGGGAAGACATAAAGCACAACTATCACACATGTATGATCAGCATGTGTTATAGATAGTTCAGGAAAGACATAAAGCACAACTAGTTCAGTGAATGCATAAAGCACAATTATCACACATGTATGATCAGAATGTGTTATAGATAGTTCAGGGAAGACATAAAGCACAACTATCACACATGTATGATCAGCATGTGTTATAGATAGTTCAGGAAAGACATAAAGCACAACTATCACACATGTATGATCACAATGTGTTATAGATAGTTTAGGGAAGGCATAAAGCACAACTATCACACACGTATAATCAGAATGAAGTCAATATTCACAACAATATTTATACATTATTTATCTTCCAGACCTCGTGCAGACGTCACAGCCATCTTAAGATGCGAGGTGTGTGTGTGTGTATGTGGGGGGGGGGGTGGAAGTTGTATCCTATCAGTAGAGATGGTGCTTTCTTATTGTATTCTAACATATACAGCTGGAGACAAAAAAATTCAATATAATTTCACTCTGTATATTAAATATATGTGAATGTGTTTATTAAATATCTTTTTCATTAAATATATTTATTCATATTTACTAAGACCATTGGGAAACCACATATTTATCAAGTAGCAATGAAAATAATTATATGGTTTGGGGACACCACAACATGAGGAACTGTATTAAAAGGTCGTGGAATTAGGAAGGTTGAGAACCACTGCTCCAGTATATAACCACGCGAAAATTTGATCGTTCACTGATCACTGACCTCCATTCCTGGCATGAAACTTTCTTGTGTTAGTTCAGACAATGCCTTATATGAGTGTGTAGCCGCGTAGACAGATCTCAACACCTTGCGACCTCAAGCAGTAAAGAGAACCAAATCATAGACGATGTGGCAGCAACAGGACAGACCCATAAGTAGGGAAGAAGTAACGGGCATCCAGTACTCAACTGTTAATGAACCGTTGCGTTCTGTCTGCATTAGAATTTCTTTTGATTGTAGGCACAATCACTGAGCTGGTATATTCATTAAAGAATAATGATGCATATTTCATATGACATTTAAATAATAAATAATCTGTAATTATTTTGAATGACCATGAGAGTTGTTAAGTTTCTTACATGTTGCATTTCATTGGACACAGACCAAACAGGGTGGTGTCAGAAAAAGTGTAGAGAATTAGAGAAATATCACCTGAGCATGTGACTGTTGATGAGCCAGTTGATGAGATTGTGACAGTTGATGAGAATATGACAGTTGGTGAGCTCGTGACAGTTGATGAGATCTTGTCAGTTAATGAGACAGTTGATGAGACAGTTGATGAGACAGTTAATGAGCTCATGACAGTTGATGAGACAGTTGATGAGCCTGTGACATTTGATGAGACAGTTGATGAGGTCGTGACAGTTGATGAGACAGTTGATGAGCTCGTGACAGTTGATGAGACAGTTGATGAGCTCGTGACAGTTGATGAGACAGTTGATGAGCCTGTGACATTTGATGAGACAATTGATGAGACACTTTATGAGACAGTTGATGAGACAGTTGATGAGACAGTTGATGAGACAGTTAATGAGCTCATGACAGTTGATGAGACAGTTGATGAGCCTGTGACATTTGATGAGACACTTTATGAGACAGTTGATGAGACAGTTGATGAGCTCGTGACAGTTGATGAGACAATTGATGAGACACTTTATGAGACAGTTGATGAGACAGTTGATGAGCTCGTGACAGTTGATGAGACAATTGATGAGACAGTTGATGAGACAGTTGATGACCTCGTGACAGTTGATGAGACAGTTGATGAGCTCGTGACAGTTGATGAGACAGTTGATGACCTCGTGACAGTTGATGAGCCCTTGAGAGTTGGACAAAGTCTTGACTGTGAAAAAATGTACCCCTTTGCCAGCACTAACAAATATCACCGCTAACTTCAGGTGATAATGGTGATAGACAAGTGAACAGACAAGTGAACTGCTGATGGTGATATACATGTGAACAGACAAGTGAACTGCTGATAGTGATAGACAAGTAAACAGACAAGTGAACAGCTGTTGGTAATAGACAGATGAGCAGTTGATGGTAATAGACAAGTGACCAATTGATGGTGATAGACAGTGAACAGTTGCAGGCTACAGAACTCTCACAGTCAAAGTAAATTATAATTACAAGCCAACCTGTTTAAGAAGATTTTTTTTTTTTTAATTCCATCTTCCATAAAAATAATCATTGAAAAACAGACATCAAAACCTTAATCATCAATCAGTGACTAAAATAATGATCATTACATATATATAACAAAAATCATCCAACAATGATGAAACATTGCACCACCCCAGGCACACAACAGTATTAAATGTAAGCCCCTCTTGCCAACATAGGGGCTGGGGTGGGAGGGATCCACCAACCTAAACACTATTTTTACATCAGGGTAACAAGTTTTTTTGTACCAATGGATGATAGGACTCTATGACCTTTGCCTTGATAGGGGCCTCAGTCTGACCTTTGCCTTTATAGGGGCCTCAGTCTGGCTTTTGCCTTGATAGGGGCCTCAGTCTGGCTTTTGCCTTGATAGGGGCCTCAGTCTGACCTTTGCCTTGATAGGGGCCTCACTCTGGCTTTTTTTATCCATTTATTGCAGGTGATACTTGGATGAGATCAGTGGGGACGAATTCTCTGGGGGAATTCATGAAATGTTTCAACAGTTGTTGTTTTTTTTAATTCGTAAATCTTATGAGCCTAAATTTAACTGATACTTAATGTAGGAATACATCTCCAACAGGTATCAGATGATATTATACAAAGTTTGTTAATACATCAAAGTCAAAATAACACATTTTAAAAACGCTTTTCAAAATACATTTTCTTTTGGGCCCACTGTTGTTTTTAAAATTCTTCTTCTTACAGTTTTCAGCAATTCGAGATCCTGTTTTTTTTAATTGCTCTTACCAATGTGTGGGGGGATTTTTTTATATAGATCTAATCGTTACTATGGATGAGACCTATAGAATATAGATCAATTTGAGGGAAAATGCGTGGAACAAACAATTATTCTATTTTTTTTTAATTTTAATACAAGAAGAAAAGCTATTTTGGTGTTTCACAATAGGATGGACAAGATTCTTTATGAAATTCTGATCCGAGCATCCAAAATCACACACTCTACTGAGCAAAAACTTCTTGATTGTCATAGCTGCTATATGACAATTATCTTGTCATTATTTTCTTAAAATTTCAGTTTTAAAGGCTAAAAGTGTTTTTTTTTTTTAAATTATATCTTTAAAAAGGAATTTAAGTACCAAATTAAATCCTATCAAAATGAAACACAAATTTTATGTCACAAAAATATCTAGAAAAATTGTGTCTTATTTAAATGTGGTGGTGATGCTGCAATCATGATTCATGTCAAACAAGAAAATTACCTGTCTTAATACATAGATGTAAAGAGTGGGGTCTGGTTAAAAATTAAGTTAGTGAAATATTTAAAAAATAGTTCAGCAATGGGTGGAGTGAATATACATTTATTTTCTTTAATTAATGTATGTTAAATTTTAAGTTCATGATTATGTTTGTTTAATTGTATGTACAGCGTGGTGAGCACTATATAAAACCACTAATTGTAATAATAATTATTAAAAAATTATTGATAGGAAATGGGTGTCGCAAATTTGTTACTTGGTTGTTATGCCTATTTTGTTACTAAGAAAAGTGGCGAAAAGTTTTATTTCAAACTAGCCAACATACCCTTGCTTTATTACGGCTACTTTTAATTTACTGATCATACAAAATGTGCACATTTAAGTACATTTGATCCATATTCAATTGAGTTAGTGAAAGACCATAAAAGGGAGACAGCTAACAAAGGTAGGGAAAACTTGGGGGGGGGGGGGGGGGGGGGGAGGCGGCCAATCATTTATGCAAAGTCGCAAGTCATGGTTAATGATTTTATATTTATGCCACACAGCAGTTTCATGGAATGCGTGTTTGCTCCAATCAATCGTTTTCTGTGAACTCTTGTTTCAATTTGTGGCCATGTTTTTATCAAATTTTTATTTTATTTACCAAAATAATCTATAATCCGTCATTTTATATCCCCAAATAGTCTTTTCGTCACGACTGCTTCTAAGTCCCTGGCTACCAACTCATCCCTCCCGCCACAACATCCATCACTTAAACCAATTCTCTCTTAACATTCCCATTTTCTCAACCTCTATTTTTGTTTTAAAAACGCCATCCCTCTATCCATTTCTTCCACTATCAGCTTAATTCACTGCCTCGTCCCTCATAAACTATGATCATATTTTTTTCCTTCTCCGTCCCTTCTATGTCACAAAATATTATTATGCTTCTATATAATTTAGTAATATATAGTATTGTAGGTAATTTTCTATTTCTGTTTAAAAAAAAAAAAGACAGGGACCCCAGGTTCTTTTAAATAGAATTTTCAATTTTTGCCATTATCAGCCTCAATATTATCAAGTTTAAAACTTTTAAGTTTGCATTAATTCTGTTGGTTTTTTTTTTATTGATCGTTCTGTATATCATTACACATGCTTGTAAAGGAGAGATTGTAAGATTCATGGATTGAATTTTACATTTACCCTTCAATTTTAAGTTCAAAGACAAAACAAGTCACTCAGCAATTTAAAAAAAGAAAAAAAAAGAAAAAGAAAGCTTCCCTTATTAAATTAGTGTTACTTATTTAAATGCTCATTAATGAATTAATGCCTCCAAACTCATTAATGCCTCTATGACCCCTTATTTCCAAACTCATTAATGCCTCTATGACCCCTTATTTCCAAACTCATTAATGCCTCTATGACCCCTTATTTCCAAACTCATTAATGCCTCTATGACCCCTTATTTCCAAACTCATTAATGCCTCTATGACCCCTTATTTCCAAACTCATTAATGCCTCTATGACCCCTTATTTCCAAACTCATTAATGCCTCTATGACCCCTTATTTCCAAACTCATTAATGCCTCTATGACCCCTTATTTCCAAACTCATTAATGCCTCTATGACCCCTTATTTCCAAACTCATTAATGCCTCTTGGACCCCCAATTTCCAAATTCATTAATGCCTCTTATTTATGTCTAGATATAAATGTACGTACATTTTATATTTAAACATCAAGACTGTTATTTGTTTTGCGGTGTATGCCCTTACGACAATGTAAACACATAATGTTTATGATAAGGTGACCCCAACCAAAACATCCCCCACCAAGTGTACATACATTCATGGTAAGGAAATAAGGCACATGACAGTTGTGTACGCATGCAATAACTTTGGTGGATGCTTCATCTCTAAGTCCTGTTTGTCCGTCTCCATGTTTGCTCTCCTGCGCTTCATCTGAGCGGCAGTGAGTCTGATGCCCCCATCAACATCATCTACGTGACTGCTCGGACTGCTCCTGTTGGCTGGGGGGTAGCAGCAGCCAATCTCTCCATTCCCAAAAAATCCTAAGAGTGGGGTGTTGGGGAAATACTTCCTGAAGATGCTTGACTCCACATTAGGTTTACTGTACACATGCATACCGCGGCCAACACAAGCATACATCAGACCAAAGCTGTGATGTAGGGGAAACTTATATTCTGTCAGTTTCTTAATGACAGCGTCCACTTCAGCCTCCTCCTCCACCTCATTACGGATGAGAACAGACGCCACTTGTATTCCGTCTCCACAAAAGGCCAGGCCAGAAACTATAGACCCTTCGTCTGAGCTGGTTACAGTGGATTAAACGTGAGAAATAGTGATAAACATTGAGGAAATAGAATAATTCAATTGTATTATTAATTAATTGAATGAGCTTATCTTCTACACTGAACTTCAGTTTTTTAAGTTTTGAATTCACATCTTTCACATAGACTTTTTTGTTTAAATCCTTGAATTTACATAATTGAATAATTTAAATCTTGCTTTCTCCAATTAGGTTTGAATATCACCTTCTGACAAACATTCTATTCTCTAATTTTAAAAAAAATGTTTTAACATAATTTTAATGTGCCATACTTAAATATGTGTTTCAGTTTTATCTCTCAACTTAATAAGCTCTGTATGTATAACATGATAAATGATACTTGGTTTAATGCTATTTTTTTTCAAGGACACAATGCTGTGGTTTAACTTGAAGTGGCAAAATAGTTGGGCATGGGATTCAATACGGATATTTGTGGCAAAATAGTTGGGCATCGGATTCAATCTGGATATTTGTGGCTAAATAGTTGGGCATGGGATTCAATACGGATATTTGTGGCTAAATAGTTGGGCATGGGATTCAATATGGATATTTGTAATGCATTGAATAAACTTCGCATGTGAATTTGATTGGCATTCAACAAATGACAGCAATTTTCAATGATTATTTGTTGCAGTGTTCGGTGTTGGGTTTCAGAGAATTACAAGTGATATCTTTTGAGTCTCATTGATGAATGTTTTCAGTGACAAGTTGGTTAAAATTAATTAATTTTAAAATGCACGACCCTTTAAGATGTAAGCATAAATAAAAGAAATTTGCTCTAAACTTCTTTTTGAAAATTTGCACTCATCCGATGTTTGGAATATGTTTTCAAATCTTTAGCTGCGTTCTATTCACTTTAGAAAGTTTATTTCTTGACAATTTGACACAGTGACAACAATGTTACATATAGATAAAGAAAAGCACTTACCTGTGAGTATGTCCTCTTAAGTCTTTGAGCACCTTTTCATTGACATATCCACCAGCTATCAAAGGTTTCCTTAGATTTCTATACATCGAGTAACTGATCTCTTGTTCAATGCCACTCATGGGACAGTACAAATTTACCATTTTCACCTATACAATGAAAGGTCAAACATGTGTAGAGAACTACATCCGTATATTTTTTTACAATTCAGTGAAAAAATATTTTTAAATAAGAGAACAGCCACGCGAGAGCTTGGATTCAAAAATTATCTTTAAAAATGAAAAAGTAGTCTCAAAATATGACCTACAAACTATTAGTAAAGCGCTTTTTGATTGGAAATATTTAAAAAATGGCTGTTTTAACAAGGGTTAATGAAATTATGGTTGAAAGAAGGCATGAACTAATTTGTTTAATGTATCACTAGACATCATTTCAAATAAAATGATCTAAGTAGTCATAAATATGTGATAAGGAAATATGCTTTAACGTGTATAAAATTAAAATGAAACCAAATTGCAAATTATAAGAAAAATAATCTGAAGTCTTACTGGTTTCTGGAGCAAAGTGCTCATAAATTCTGGAATTTTCTTGCCATTTTCATCCCAACACTTTGTCAGCAGCCGGCAATCAGAATGGGAAAATGAGAAGGGAATAAACTCTGTCTCAACAGAATGACCCAACATCAAAAGAGAGATAGACATTGGGAATTCATCCATCTCCTCAGTCATCATTTTGCAATCAGTACCTGTCATATAAGCAGCAACAAAATAATGTTTAATCAGTGCCTGTCACATAAACAGCATCATTATAATGGCATTAAAAATTCTAGTAATGATGGACAACTTTGTTATTGATGCTAACATACTGAAGTATGACTTTATTATTGAGACCCCATTTAACCCTACAAATAAAAGAAAGGGTTAAAAATAATAATCATAATAATTCTTGAGTGCCAACAAAACTATGATCCATTGTCTATTCATTATTTCAGTAAATAAAATTTAAAGATTGTTTTTGAGTAATTCTGAGTAAACTTTTAATATATTACATAAACAATTTCGTTATATAATGGTTAATATTTCTGGACACCAATTTTATTTTAGAAAATTTTAAAATTTCACTTGATTAAGTTTTCATTGTATCCAAAGGGCTAGAAAATAAAAGTGAATCCTGTAGAGTAAAATATGATTTATAAACACTGCCCTGAAATTCACAATGGAATTGAAACTTTAATCTCATTACTTTGACAAGTCAGAACTTATACATGTGGAATAACTTGAAATTGATGTCTTCTTCTTCTATATATTAAGGGTCCACAATCAATTTATTGATCATTTTGGCTCCTATGCATGTAAAGGGGATTTGCAATGTTTCTGTGCCTGGTGTTGATGAGGATATTTTACTGGTTGCAATAAATGACTTACGGACTAACTATCTAACTGGATATTGATATATGTCTTTTAAAAAAAAAGACAGTACACTCTTGTAAATCTTCTACAATGTTTTTAATAACTAAAAATGTAAATAAATTTACTACCTACGATTCCATCTGTCACCACTACATGATAAACACACTTTCTGGGCAAACTTTTGTCAAGTAATTCTTTGATGACCTTCTTGGTTTTGACATTTCCGTTTGACTGCTCTGACTGTTCTGTTACATTACTCCTACTCCATAAAGTGTTTGTACAAAATAATAGAAGGCAGCTTGGTTCCATTGGACTGTCCTAGACAAAAATAAAACAGTATATTAATGTTTCCATGACAACATGTTTCATCATGAATTAAAAAAATGGTATGGTAATTAAATAAAGATTTTAAATCTAATAATTAATAAAGTGGGAAAAAGTATGTAGGATGATCAAAAGCATTTTTGGTGTTACATTGTTGACTGATGTTACATTGTTGACTGATGTTACATTGTTGACTGATGTTACATTGTTGACTGATGTTACATTGTTGACTGATGTTACATTGTTGACTGATGTTACATTTTTGACTGAAGTTACATTGTTGACTGATGTTACATTTTTGACTGATTTTACATTGTTGACTGATGTTACATTGTTGATTGATGTTACAATGTCAAAAATAATGTGACATGATGGCACACGATTAAGTGTTGAAATAGAATAGCATTGAACTTCAAAGAAAGAGAATAAAAAATTGATATCCCTGGCATTGTATGAGGATTGAATGGCACATGCATGGTGCTTTTCAGGGGTTAAAGGCACAAAATGAAGGATAGTATCAGACATCACAAGCAACAGCTATGCCGCTCTGTGATATCGCATAGAAAGTGATGTTATTTTATGAACTGAGTATCTAGTTATGAAAATTAGTTAACAGCAACTGATTTCAAAATTAGTTGGGAAAAAAATCAAATAAATATTTGCTTCTACATTAAAAATGAAATATATACTATTCCATTTAAAATCTTTACATTATCTATACTATGTAATGAAATGAATACAATCATTTAATACTATTAACTATAATTGAGCATTTATAAAAAAAAAAATTTCTATCCATTTTTAAAAAAGATAATTCAGATAATAAATTTGTATAAAGATTACATATAATCTATCACATTGTGACAAGCTGAGGTTTCAAGTCAAGAAATTGAAAGTTTCAAGATACTTCACAAAGCTGAAGCATTGTAAATAAAATAAACCCCATGAGATCTGCAACCAAGCTGTAATAGCATGTAACAGTAATAATACCATGATGTAACTGTTTAGTGATCTGTACCAGTTCTCATCGAGATCACTGTTATCTGCATCACGGCCATATTTGAAAGAGTTCCACCTCAATTTAATTCGACTCGCTTTCTCTCTTTTTGCTTGCTGATACCAGGTGGTACAAACACTGCAGGAAAAATATATATTGGATAATGTCTGTGATCTTTATGATTATTAATTGAAAATGAATCATATAGAGCAGTAACGTGATTTTTGCCATCAATTTCACAAAATAATACAACTTGTCAATTAATGCCCATCAGGGCTCAGCAGAAAGCAATAATTTTCATTTTAACAATAATGCTATTAATACAGGCAACAAAATGTACTAAACCTTCTATATAGTTCAATTAAGTTAATTTTTTTTTTTTTATGCCTAAGAGCTAGTAGCACCTAGTGCTGTACTCCATCATCTCATGATTATTCCAAATAAGAATTGTTCAAATTACTGTACAACCAATTGACTTTCGTAAAGCAATCCTGCATATTCCATTTAATTAATAAAACAAAATATCATTGATTGGACCACAGCCAGAAGGTCTCATTTTTAAATACAAATCAATCAATTGGAAATTATTTAAGGCCATTTTAAATTGGATGGAATCAGAAGGCACTTAGACATGAGTAGCACTCATTTTTTAAAGAAATCAAATAGGCTTAGGGTTAAAACGTCCTAAAGAAATCGACAGTGAAACAAATGTCAGTCACTAATTTGGTCACTAAGCCTCATAGTAGGTACTTTGGTAGCACGAGGGAGACTACTACGTAATTTGTATCGGAAATGGGCCTTGACACATTAGAATCTGAGTATTTCATTTTTTTCAGGTGAGTGTAATGTTAATAATACAGGAGTCCTTTTGACCCATAATTAAGGTCAGACTCTGTCCTTTCACATTAGAAGACATCTTAGCTTACATTCCCATTGAGTTTTATTGTTCTTTATATCAACTTTAATTGAGAAAAATCCTTTGTTAAAAAAGGCATCTGTTAATATAAAAATTTGATCACAATATTAAAGAATGTCTTCTAATTCTATGTCAGCGAAGTATATTGAGATATATGTGTGCTAAAATTTCATAGCGCTAGCTCATGAAACATTTTTTTCAATTCTCCTCAATGTAGATCCCATAATGCAAAGGTCACACAGGCCATTTTGAATTAGTGATCACGCTCCCTTTTAAATGGCAGAAGGCACACTGATACTTAGCTTAGGAAATATTCAATTATTACCACTATATGCATCAAAATTAGGATTAGGAAGGATCAATGTAAATGGACAACGTTTGCTGGAGCTGTGCTGCTCTCATGGTCTCTGTATTACAAATACCTTCTTCAAATGTAAACAAATCCAAAAGGTGTCATGGCGACACCCACGTTCCCGCCACTGGCACCAGCTAGACCTCGTCATTACTAGGCGCTTGGAACTAGCCAGTGTACTTCACACACGCAGCTACCATAGTGCCGACTGTGACACGACCATTCTCTAGTGGCAAGCAAGATACGACTAATGCCCCAAAAATTTCACAATGCTAAAAAGACGTGTCTCCACGAATAAACATCCACTGCTCAAACAACCCAGAAAAAACGCAGCAATTCTCAAAAGTGTTGCAGGACACCCTTGCTAAAGGATCACACGATGGAACTATTGACTCTAAGTGGAGCCATTTACTAGATGCTGTGTACGATTCAGCCATGTCCGTCTACGATAAAATGGAGCAAAACATAATGACTGGTACGAGGCGCATTGGCAAGTGATGGAACCCGTAATCGAGAGGAAGAGAATAGCCGTACTTGCCTATACGGAAGTACCTTGTCATAGTACACTGCAGGATCTCCGAACCGCAAAAAAAATATCACAGCATAAGGCCTGCCACTGTGCCAACACTTACTGGCTAGACCCTTGTAAATTCATACAAACGGCTTCAGACATCGGAGATGCAAGGAGCATGTACGAGGGCATCACGAGAGCATTTGGTCCACACGAGTGAAAAATAGCACCACTCAAGTCCAAGACGGGTCAAATTATGAAGAGCCAACTTTACAAGAGCTCGAAAAAGCCATCGATTACCTTTCGGATGGGAAGGCTGCAAGGATCGACGGCATCCCAAAGGAAATCCTAAAAATTGGAAAACCTATCATACTTCAGCCCTTACATGAACTCCTCTGTCTGTGCTGGGAAACACGTTACATTTCCCAGGACATGAGAGACGCCAACATCGTAACATTGTATAAAAATAAAGGGGATCGAGGCGATTGCAATGACTACCGAGGTATTTCTCTCCTTAGCTTAGTTGGAAACACTTTTGCCCGGGTTGCCCTTAAACGATTGCGGTGCCTTGCGAACCGCATCTACCCAGAGTCATAGTGTAGTTTAAGGAGTGAGAGCTCAACAATAGACATGATATTTTCGCTACGCCAAATACAGGAGAAATGTCACGAACAGCCTCTTTATACTGCCTTTTTAGACCTGACCAAGGCATTTGACTAGGTAAGTCGAAGTGGCCTTTTTAGTATCCTGCAAAGAATAGGTTGTCCCCCACGACTGCTCACAATAATACAGTCATTTCACAAAAACATGCACAGCACAGTAACTTTCAATGGAACTGTCTCTGAGTCATTTCAAGTTAACAGTGGAGTAAAACAGGGTTGTGTACTGGCACCAACACTCTTTTCAATTTTCTTTTTGATGCTCCTTCAATTTTCTTTCAGTGACTGTGAAGATTGAGTGTACGTCCACACAAGATCTAATGGAAGACTGTTCAATATCGCTCGCCTTCGTGCTAGACCAAAGTAAAAAAGGTGCTGATTTGTGAACTGCTGTTCGCTGATTATGCCGCCTTAACATCTCACACAGAAGAAGGTCTGCAAGGGCGGGTTAATCGCCTATCACATGCTTGTAAGGAGTTTGGTCTTTCGATTAGTCTACAGAAAACTCATGTAATTATGCAAGAAGCACCGTCACCTCCAACCATATCTATTAAGGGTCATAATCTTTCAGTTGTCTATCGTTTCATATACCTGGAATCCAATATTTCTAGTTCTCTCTCCGTTGATGAAGAGATCAATATCAGGAATGCAAAAGCAGCAGCAACTATGGCTAAACTGAATAAGCGGGTGTGGAATATTCTCAAGCAAACTGATAAGACAAAAATAAGTATCTATCAGGCATGCGTGCTTAGCACGCTCCTATATGGTAGCGAAGTGTGGACCACATACACCAGTCAGAGTGGAAACTCAACAGCTTCCATCAAAGATGTCTGCGTCGCATTTTGTGCATTCGTTGACAGGACAGGGTGCCTAACTTGGTGATCTTGGAACGTGCACACATGTTTAGCATATTCTCCTTTCTTATCAAGAGACACCTTCGCTGGTTTGGTCATGTACGGAGATTGGAGGAAGGATGTATCGCAAAGATTCTGCTGGATGGAGAGTTGGCATAGGGGACAAGACATATTGGACAACCGCGCCTGAGATTTATTGACGTTTGCAAACGAAGCATGAGGGAAGCCAATATTGAAACAAACGAATGGGAGTCCATTTCCGAACATCGCTCCAACTGGCGTACATCAGTGTTTGGAGGAGTGAGAAAGGCAGAAGTTACTCGAAACGAGGCCCTCGAATCAAAAATATCAAATCGAAAATCAAGAATTTACCAGGTTTCAACATTCTCCTGCGAGAGATGCGGCCGTGATTGCCATTCAAGGATTTGCCTAGTGAGCCACTCGTCAAAGTGTAGAACTATATAGCTACTCCATCGTCTCACGTAGATACCATAATAATGTATAATTATAATTAAAACTAAACATATATTGTTATATTGACAGCTATTGTTAGTGTCCAATTAATCTTTTTTAAAGCAATATCGCAGTCCAACAATGTTACAACCTGGAAATGAACGTAAAGTTTAAAGAGAGACAAATTGATAAGTTATTTCTTGGATAATTTTTACAGTTACCGTTCTTGAATAGTTAATTCCTTGGAGCGTTGCTAGTTATCGTTTCTACTCTTATTCTACATCATTTCCATGTTGCTAGTTAAGGTTTTAACTGTTATTCTACATAACTTCCATTTACTAATGCATCTAAAACTAAGTTTAACCAAACTCTCTAAACAGTTTCTTTCTACAATTACTAGCTATTAATTTTTTTTAAAAACTTTCTATCACAGTTCTACTTCAAACACTAGATTGTATTTTATGTATCTCACTGATCAATTTTTTAATAATTATTTCATGTTCATTATAATCGTCCATTTTTATTCCATTCAGCATTCAGACAATGAACTGACATCAACATACAAAATATACGACCAGATAATATCAATGTCTTAATAAGCAGATTGTTATGTTCTGTCTTCTTTGCAACGTGTTCTACCAACGTGTTAATCCTAGTAATGAGCTAAGATGTGAATGTGGAATTTTAAGAAGCCACACTTCTATTCAATGGTGAAACTTTTGCATTTACAATAGCATAAGAATTAAAGGCACCCGTAGGAGGATGTAAAGACGAGTTAGCTCTTTGCTGAAAGACGTTTGCTAATGCAACAATTGGGGAAGCTTACTTGAGTATACTAAAGGTAATTAATAAAAAAATAATTTTGTGTAAGTTATAGAACGAAAGATCTGAACTATCGTTTAATAATGTAGTTGGTAAAAGACCAAAAAAAAAAAATTACAAATGCCGTGCCAGATGTCTTAAGTTCGGAGAATGTGTGCTAAGCATGTTGGCAGCTCGTCTTTAAAGCTTACCTTACACTTACACTGATGAATACATCATCCCGATTCAAAGGCATTTTTTGCTGAAAGTCTTCAAGTTCGGGTAACCCAGAAAAAGTGACACAGTAACATACATACATAAATATTACAGTTTGCAATGAAATATTGGATGCATTGAAACCTACATAGAACAAGATAACCTTTCGTTAAGTAAGTTTTCAGAATATTTCCTTTAGTCTATTTTACATTTTAAATTTTGTGTAAAGCACTAATAATACAGCACAAATGAATGCATTAATGAAATGAAATGAAAAGGAATTTTATAAAAAAAATAACCAGAGTTTCCTGATCATAGATTTTCATTGCAAACAAAAAAAAAAAAAATATTTCTTCAACTCCAATTTAATCTAACTTAATTTATAGTGGGGGGGGGGGGGGGGGACTTGTACTACTTGTTACACAGTTTTATGTGAAAGTAATAATTGATGTATTAAATGCACGTTTTCTTGCATGAATTTGTCGAATTATTTCAACAGATTTGTCTGAACATTATTAGATTGATCAGATTTGTTTGATCATATTCGTTTGATAAGATGTGTTCGATCTTTCTGTGTTTGATTTTTATTTATTTTATCAGATTTGTTTGATCATTATTTGTTTGATAACATTTGTTTGATCAGCTTTCTTCGTTTAATCATAATTTTTCAAACAAATTTGATCAAACAAATCCGATTAAACAAATAATGATCAATCGGATTTGTTTGATCAAATTTGTTTGATGAGATTTGTTCAATGCGGCCCGTAGTATTGGCATTACGTTGCTGTTTAGTTGCTTTTATATGAACAGTAAGGTTGGACAACAATTGAATAAAAATAAATGAAAATCTTAAAATTTTAAATGGTAAACATTTTTAACCGAAATTATTGCAATGTTAAGCCAATCCTTTGAACAGTTACACTTTTTCTTGCGGGTATGTTACAGTTAGCTACGTAACTAAAAACAAACACATTATGTTATTAACTTTTCTTTACGAATTTTATTATTTTATGTAAAAAAAAAATATTTTTTTTTAAATTAGAAATTTGAAATATAAAAAAGTTTGATATGAAAAATAATATAATCATGTAAACATTTATCAAAACGGACGGTCTGTTTGTTTAACATGTAAATAAAATAAAATTTGGTTCAATTTTTGCATCTCAGATTCCGGCAGCACTTAGTCAAATTTATTATTGAAAAACCATAAGGATACAAATATAAGTAAATGTGCAATTTTTTAAAAAAGAAATTGAATAGCTTAAACAATAATTATTGCCAGCTTAGTTTTTAGTTTAGGTAAAACAAATTTCGAGACACTTTTTTTACCTAATTACCTATAGATTTAAAATAAACATTTCTGCCAATATTTTCTTGAAAAAAATGTCAACTTAATAATTTCGCGTCCATTAATTTCGAGCAGATGTGATTTTGACATGGAATCAAAACATCAACAAGAAAAATTTCATTGCATGACATTCTTAAATAAAGGTGGCTGACTTTCACACTTGTATAGAGCACTCAGTAGATAAGCTACATAGGTCATAAATTATAGCTTTAAACTTTTACAGACTTTTAAGAAAGCTTGTCCGTCTCCTATTTTTTGCTGTTCAACAGGTAGGCGAGCCCACTGAATGTGAGGACAAGGGCCAGCGAGGACATCAGACCGGACACACCTGAAATAGACAGTTCATTGACAGTGGAAATAACGTCTTCTTAGGTTATGTCTAGTAATAACCAAAGCTATCTCGTAAATAAGAAATCGTTAAGAATCTCTTATAATTTTGTTGCCTCTGATGTGGCTGCTTGCTTTTCACAACCGGTGCTCCATTCACTCAATATGTTCTATTATTAATAGTATTAAAAAGGGGGTGGGGGGCTGTCAAGAAACGAGCGTCATGAATGGATGTTGACCTCAGGTAAACAGGGGGAATTTTTTGCGGGTGGCGATTATTATATCAATCATAAAGAGCCACGCGTATGGTGTAGGACAGTCCGTTGGACTGTCTCGGGACTATTGTTTAAATACTTGCTTGTAGAGTGTAGGACTATCTGTATACCAATTGTTTAAATACTTGCTTGTAGAGTGTAGGGCTATCTGTAGACCAATTGTTTAAATACTTGCTTGTAGAGTGTAGGACTATCTGTAGACCTATTGTTTAAATAATTGATTGTAGAGTGTAGGACTATATGTAGACCTATTGTTTAAATACTTGCTTGTAGAGTGTAGGACTATCTGAAGACCTATTGTTTAACTACTGAGCGGTAGAGTGTAGCACTATCTGCAGTTCTAATATTTTTAAAAAAAATTAAAAGTTATCTCTATAAACTCGGACCCGGTGCAAAAAAAACAAAACAAATGCACCTGTCTAAGCCCTAGAAACAAATGCACCTGTCTAAGCCCTAGAAACAAATGCACCTGTCTAAGCCCTAGAAACAAATGCACCTGTCTAAGCCCTAGAAACAAATGCACCTGCCTAAGCCCTAGAAACAAATGCACCAGTCAAAGCCCTAGAAACAAATGCACCTGTTTAAGCCCTAGAAACAAATGCACCTGTTTAAGCCCTAGAAACAAATGCATCTGTCTAAGCCCTAGAAATAAATGCATCTGTCTAAGTCCTAGTATATAAATATTTTAAAATTTATTTCCCAATTTTAACTGCGGTAATTACTGAAAGGATTTTAACGAAGATTAATAAATATGTTTAGCTATACATTGGCATACTCAGGTTTCCATCTATGTATAGTTAATAAATATTATACAAGAAAGATATTTGGATAACATTTGATATCTTACTGAGAAATCAGAAAGATTTTCTCTCAATTAAAGACTTTCAAAAGAAAAAACATTAGCATTTAAATACGGACGGGTGATTATGACGCTGTTTGAGTTTTCTTTATCCCGTGTCTTGCAGACACTATCTTTGAAACACTACAGTGTCATTTTACCCGATGCCGGCAATAAGTGTCATTTTACCCGATGCCGGCAATAAGTGTCATTTTACCTGATGCCGGCAATAAGTGTCATTTTACCCGATGCCGGCAATAAGTGTCATTTTACCCGATGCCGACAATAAGTGTCATTTTACCCGATGCCGGCAATAAGTGTCATTTTACCCGATGCCGGCAATAAGTGTCATTTTACCCGATGCCGGCAATAAGTGTCATTTACCCGAAGCCTGCAATAAGTGTCATTTTACCCGATGCCGGCAATAAGTGTCATTTTACCCGATGCCGGCAATAAGTGTCATTTACCCGATGCCGGCAATAAGTGTCATTTTACCCGATGCCGGCAATAAGTGTCATTTTACCCGATGCCGGCAATAAGTGTCATTTTACCCGATGCCGGCAATAAGTATCATTTTACCCGATGCCGGCAATAAGTGTCATTTTACCCGATGCCGACAATAAGTGTCATTTTACCCGATGCCGGCAATAAAACTTAAACCGAAACGTATGCCTTGTGTGTGTGTGTGTTCATATGAAGCGTATATTCAATAAGCAACATGAACTTTACAAAAAGGAAAACGAACTTCACACATTTGCAACCCTTCTTCTCACGACCTGAACGTAGTACGTATTCTGATCGAAATTCACACAACCATTTCATCAATTTAGAGAATATGGTACTATCCATTGCTTATCAATAATCGTAAAAAAAATGTTGGTGTATATCATAAAAGAAAAAGTTGAACGCAGACATTCCTCTAATACAGAACTCCATAACAAGTGAGCTGCTGCAAACTGATGTGCTGCGAGACGAAGCTAGGTGTGCCGCGGCAAAATTAGAGGGAAAGACTAGGGAAGGGAAAATGCTGTTGTTGTTTTTTAAACCAAAGAAAAAAAAATGATTGGCTTGTTGACAAAGTGTCAGACACGTGAGGCCAAATAGCGCATCACCGATGCAGGTGCAGCTGGTCACGTGACATAGTCACAATCTGAAATATCAACGTGTCTGAAGCGACGATTCATATCTCTCTCACTCTCTCTTTCTGTCTGTTTCTCACTCACTCACTCACTCACTCTCTCTCTCTCTCTCTCTCTCTCTCTCTTTCTCTCTCTCTCTCTCTCTCTCTCTATCTCTGTCTCTCTCGCTTTGACATTTAATCACAACTTTTTACGCACGAACTCTGTAATTCTTCCAGTCGCTATTTATTTCTGGTTCCGCTTAACATTATTTACGCCTTCGAGGTAAAATTTCACCATACGTACAAGTTTAGAAGCTCTAAAGAAACCATCTTCAGATTAGCAGTTAAGCCTAAGCCAAATTTAGTTGTCACCCATTGTTAACGTTTTTGTAATAAAGGGACCCATTAATATTCCTGCAAACTTTACGGTGCCCTCTATTCAGTAAACTAATAAATAAAGTTGAGCAAATCACCTGAGCAGCCCAGGGCAGCCTTCAGCGTCTTCGTTGCTGTGATAGCTGCCGATGCGGCAGTTTTCTCAGCATCGCTGCACGAGGAGTCGATTGCACCCAGGCATGTTATGTAAGTGTTGTAACTCCTGGGGAAAAAAAGAAACGTTAAACGGTAACTGATGACAAATTCATTTTTAAAAAAAAAACAGTGTCATCTGAAGTTAAAAAAAAAAGTTATACCCAACACCCTAAGCCGGCTGTGTTTGTTCACCTTGATCAAGGGGTGATCAAGATAATTTTAAAATACTATTTTTTTTAAAGCTCTGTTAAGCTGTTTGACAGCATGTGTCTGTGCACGTACATTTTCCCAATTTTAACTTTGAGAAAAAAATAATCACCGATTTTTGCTACGCTGGCTACATTTCATTTCGATACATTCCATTGTCTAGCTTTGTCGGGTGTTGTCTGTTTATATTCATAACAACTGGCCGTCTGTTCAGCTCTCCAAAGTTCAATTTAAAAAAAAATATATATTTAATTTGGTTTTGAAAAGTATCTAAATGTAATTTTTGTCCCTTTCATTTTTTGTACTCTTTTACTTCAATGCTTTCAATTTAATTGTAAACAACTGGAATTGGGGAATTTTTGAATGTATCTTTTGAGGGGTTTCATTTGAAGCCTTTCATTATATACTGTTGTACTTTCATTCATTTTTCCTTTACACAAGAATGAATTGTGTTACTTAAATCCATGTCACCGCGGTAAGTCTAACTCAACTAACCATTCAAGTTATCGAATTAAAACCAGAGAAATTAAAATAAAATCATCAGATTTGTTTTACAAGACACATTTTTTTCATAATTATGTTTTATACAAAATTACACGCGCTGAAATTGTACGAGGTATAGAATATGTAGAAACAAAATGATATGACTCACTCGCAACTTGCAGTAGGTGCGGTGCAGGTACAGGCACCCAAGGCCACGTCAATGGTTGCTGAACAGACAGAATAAGATTTAAAATGAAATGGTTAAAAACATGTATTTTAACACGTGCTAAAATATATTAAGGTGACAGCCGAGACAATTGTCTCAGTGAAACATTATTTTATTATTCCTTGACATAAATTTATACTGTTTTGCATCTTTAATTTAGGGCATTCAAAAATTTCTAGTGACGACAAAGCAATCAAAGCTCATATTTTTCGAGTGGCCATTCAACGCAAACAGCTTAGAACCGCTGGATTCTTGAGAAAGTAGAGTATATCAAAGATTAGTTAACTGAGTGTCTGATGTCCTATTCCGATTGCAAAGTTAGGTACAAGAAAAACAACACAATTATTGGACAACACATTTTTTTAACATCATTTAAACCCGATAACAGACCTGCGATCACGCAAACTGCCAGAACGATGAGATAAACTTTGGCCATCTTGAATTACTTTTGATCTCCTCGACAATAGCGTCTTCAGTTTTAAGAACTAAAGAGCAATAAACAGAACCATTAATACCCGATATTGAAATAACACCATCGTATTTTAATATATCAATTTTCACAAACCATGGAATTAAGGCTAAAATTTCGAAAATATATTTTTGTCCCGGAAATGTACAGAGAAGCATGTTTCATAAGTCTCTGAATGGACATAAACCGTGTGTAATTGTGCACTGGATAGTGAAGTGTTCTTTTAAAAGCTGTATGGTTTACGTTTTCTTACATTGGTTTAACCAACTACAACGAAATGCCGAAACTCAAGTTAATATTTTAACCATTCAAAATTTAATAAGACAGTTTAAGAAAATATTTTGTTGACTTTTGTTAGGCCCAAACTATCTGTAGTTACTAAACATATTATGCACATTTCTTTCCTTTGCAGCCAAATACCATAATTATACATATGTACTAATGATATTAAACTGAGTGAGTCGCTTGCTTTAATAAACGTTTGATACAGAACATGTTATAAAAAGAATCATTATTGCTTTTGTAAAGGTTATAAATAAAAATAAAACGAGTTTAATTTTTTGCAATTATTTTTTTTTTGACATAAACTACACGAAAATGTTACGTGACCGTTAACATTAAAAATAACTAATTTAAATATAAGAAAATAGATACAAATTTATTAAAGATAAATTTAACATTCTCCGTCTGTAAAAAAGAAAAAAAATTATGTAGATAAAAACTATATATATTTAGAAAATAGAATTAAAATTAAAACAAAATATTTTCAAAAAAGTCTTTAATAAAAAAAAAGAGATGTTTATCACACACATAATATACGTGCATATTCTCAACCTGGCTTTAAAACTAAACATAAATATAATATTTAACTTCTATTACAATAAACTTGAACCAAATAATATTGATTTTTTCGTTTGTTTTGGCAATACATTTTATGTGCAGTTCAAGATGGCATAAAAATTACAGCTCTCGACCTTACCTTCTCTGTCAGCGTCGCCTCCTTGGTGTGTAAATGACAGTCGCGGAAAGGTGGATTATATAGCACCTGGTTGCCAGCCAAACACTGTGTCCTGGTCATGGTTACCCACAATGCCATCCGAGAGGTATTGCGCAAAAAAACTTTGGAACTTTTCGTAATGGCGAAGAGGTTCATTGTTTGAGGGATTCATTGACCCCCGCCCCCCAACCTTCCAACCCCCCAACCCTCAACCCAACAGCCCGTGACCTCTCAGCCAATCACCGATCTTGATTTTTAATCATCCCACCAATCTGTGGGTGTTTTGAAATGTCAACGGATACCGTTTCACTCTAGAACATGTCGCTACAGGATTGTTAGTATAGATTCGATTGATCTGAAGTTTCCATAAAAAAAAACATAAAACGTTATGCATGAACGTAAAACGTAAAAATCCTCCATTGTGAAAAGACGTGTCGCGTATGAGTAATTATTTACACATGAAACTACTTGTCGATATGACGAGCCCAGGACATTGTTTAACTTAAGCATGACGTAGGTCTATTCATATTCAGAAATAAACTTTTATTTTTTCATTTAAAAAATTTCATTACATCTTTTTTTTTTCCTCTTTACCTGAGTTTGTATTGTCTGTAAATGACAAGTGTAATGTCTGTGCAAGTTATTTCTGATGTCTGGACATGTTATGGGTAATATTTATTAATGTAATGTGCAGTGCTGGAACATAGCATTTCCATGGTCTTCAAAGGAAAAGTGAAATGTCATTGCCGTACAATTTCGTTTTTAATTCACGCTACAAGAAATATGTATCCATGTTTAAACACATTCTCTACTGAAAAAAATCGTTTATATCTGTACAACACTACCGCCATGTTTTAATATTGAGTCCGTGGCTATTCAAAACATGTTGCCATGGAGACCAGTATTGACTGTTTTTTGTCTCCGTTTATTTCTTCAGCCTAGAAGTAGTGACAGGCACTGTGCTTGCAGTTGAACATTTACTCGACAACATTTTATTAAGAATCGATTCTTTAGATCAGGGCGTGGAAGAAAAGAGGGAGAAAAGGTCACTATTGTTGTACACTTTTATATCGCTTGCCCCCCACCCCCACCACCCACCCCACAAACAACCTAACACTCATAGAAAAAAAAAAGAAGCCAACTATTCAACACTATTCATCTAGACTCCAGTATTTATTACCAGACACTATAAGACTCCTCAACTATTCAATACTAATGAAAGCAACAAACAATAATATTGAAACAAAAACAAACTGGCAGCCCTTTTGGACAACAAAAATCTGTGGTGAAGATGAATAGTGTTAATGATTTTTGTTTTGGGTTCTGGGTGCATGTTAACACTATTGTATGACGTGGAGAGTATGTTGGTAGCTGTTGCTATTTGTTTTGTATTTGTGACGCATTACGGTATGGGAGATGACGTTGTTGATTGCTATGGTTTAGTAGTAGTAAGTGAGGTGCAGGGAGATAACGGATTAAAAAAGACAAGCTTATTTCAATAATGAACCATATTATTATGTCATACTGCTCAATCATTTGTTGAATAATTACCCTTCAACGTATCGGAGTCATTGGACTGATTATCCGACTGTAGCAGGTCGTAACTATTGGTCAAAGCATTAGTAAAGATGGTTATACAATTTAAAACTAATTTTTTTTTTAGTTTGTATTTTATAATTGACTAGTATGTGCTTCATGAAATATCGGATTCAAAGCTAAAAATCAAAGCATCTAGATAGGTCCCGATACATTAACCCCAGCCCTCCCAAACCCAAAGTCTTTTTTAGCCGTAAGACCACAGATGCGTATAACCTAAATTGCGCTTTGTGTTCCAGATGCGCCCCATTGTGTCCGCGGGAATGGGAGATTTTGGAAGTGAAGTGTTTTGTCATTTCAATCTTGACGAGTGCCACCAGACATTACAGAAACCAGGTCACGTGAAGAGCGTACGCTTTGCACTGGGGACTGGGCAAATGGCTTTTAGATTTTAACATTTCACATTTCATAACGTCCTTACACTTATGTAGCCAGAGTCAATACGACTTTAATTGTATATGTTTGTGTTTTTTTCCCAGTACCACAAGAGAGTTTAAAACATAGAGATTGATAAAAACGCTAAATGGATTTCTGTTTGTTGAATCAAGAATTGTCGCGGACATTTTAAATCAATCTATTTGACTTTATTATTCAACTGTTAAAGCTACACTCGAATATAACATAATTATTAGTTATACAATACTGACCAAACACGTTTTTTTTTTACTTAGATAAACTACATCAAAGACTATTTATCTGTACTGGAAAACTGCAACATGAATACAATGGGAATTTAGATCTGAGGCTTTTATGGCCCACAGCCTAAATACTTAAATACAAAGAAAACACGACTCAACTATTAACACTAGACATGTAGACAGAATCTATACTAAACAGACATAATAAACTATTTTAGGACAGTCATCTAGACGTAATTACTCAATACTAGAACGCAAGATTCAGCGAACAGATGGTGCAAAGTTAGACTCAATTATTCAATACAAGGCATCTAGACTCCTCAAATATTCAATACTTGACATCCATACGCAACTATTTTATGTTTGAGATCTAGACTAACATATTCAATACTAGACACTGAGACCCAACCAATCAATATTAGATATCTTGACTTAACATTTTAATACTTGACATCCAGACTCAACCATTTAATATCAGACATTTGGCTCAACTATTCCTTATTTGTCATCTTGACTCAACCATTCGATACCAGGCATCTTGACTCAACCATTCGATGCTAAACACCTAGACTCAACCATTCATTACTAGACATCTTGACTAAACCATTCATACCAGACATATTGCTTTGTAATCTTCTCCCTTCAGTGTATTTACCTTCCTGCTTACCCGTGAAAATAAAGCTATGAAGACTATCTGAGAGATATTTAAATGAAACGCTTTAGTTTTTACAGCCCACTCTCAGTATTTCTGCAGGCAATCTCTCAGGAGCAGGTCAAGTGGCTTCGGTGAAGACTATGAAAAACAGAACAATAAATTTTATTTTGTAACCGTTTCAAAAAGAATGGTAACGTCTGTATTTAACCGATCACAGTGATTGGAACCTTTGAGCTATTGCTACACTCGATATACTGGATGATCCGTGCATTTTAAGCTAATCTTGCTAGGGGCTTACACTGTTTACTTACTTCTCATTATAAGCCGAAGTCTTACTTGCATTGTTCTCAGATATGGGGATTTTTTTAAATACTTGATTTTTTGCAACTTCACAATTTTAAAGACTTTCATAACAATATTAAAATAAATATACATCAATAAAACGGTCTATAATTCTAATACAGTTCCTGCTAAGTATCAAATATGTGCATTCGGTTTTCAAATGGCATTTCTTCATAAAAGCCTAATTTTTATAGTAGGATGATGTGTTCATTAAATGATGTATTTGGCACCGAGCTTTAAAAAAGTATATTTATTAACATAATTTTAAAAAATACTTCTTTCCATGTATGTTGAGCTATACAAAATAAAAACTTTTACAAAAGGGATTAATATTTGTAAATAAGAATCTAACGGGCGCATACAACAAATTCACTTTTCATCAAATCAAAAAAAAATTGTTCTCTCACAATTTGCGACTTTTAACATAAAGTTTCAACATTTATGTTCATAGTACTTTAAAACAATAATTAAACCTATATATATATATATTTTAACTCCCAACCCTTTTGTCTTTTTTATTTCAGAATAATTTACACTTACCCATCTATTTGCGAGCGATTTTTTCAATATTTTTTTTTTCTTGAATATAGTAGAAATGTGAAAAGAAAATTGCATTTCAATCACCATGCCAATTTGATTTATTTTTGGTACTTGCTTTAGAAAAATTTATCTGTTTTAATAGTCAATTTAAAAAAAAAAATTATGTGGATTCGGTAACAAAAAAAAAATATGTGTTAATGTATATTGAAGAGGCAAACTGAAATTTACCTGAAGAAAATTATAGTGTTTTGAAATAACACATACACATTTATTTAATTCAACTGTATTTTTTGAGCGGCAATTTATCTTTATTTTTGTATAGAATTTCCCTCAGATAAAATTACAAATTAATCAATATATGATGTCTTTTTGAAACAACTGTAGTCTTCTTAACATAATTATGCCTTTCATTCCGGCTAAATGTGTAAATTAAACACATTCATTAAAAAGTACAGTTTTCAAAACCTACTAAACATATACAGACCTTTCTACTACATTTTGTTGTTGTTGTTTTTTTATATTCTAAAAAAAAATGGAAATATTTAAAAAAGTAAATAATCATAAGTAAATAATTTGGTTCGTTAATTTTTTTCATATACGTTTAACAAGTAAAATGAAATGAGCAGTGATTTTTTTGTAATGGAATTTTAATGAAAAAAAAATCATTTATATTAATTAAGTAGTTACTCCCTCGCACCAAAAGACTTAAATATAAAATAAAAGCCACACAAACAATTATATTTTTTTATTTTTTATTTTACAAAAGCCGTCGCTCCACTTTTTGAGACACCTTGCCACGTTTCATGTTGTTTTTTTCCATACCTCCCCGGTTGCATTGACAGATGATAATTTTTTTTTTTATGTTTTCACATCACATCTTTAAGGCCAAAAAATATTCGAGGCAACTTGCAGTCTTGGAGCATGTCGGGCTCACTCAATGCTTATAAAATTAAGTGACACCAAAATTTTGGAACTAGCATTGATTCCTTTATCTTTTAATTGAATGTATTATGTTGAAACATTAATTCCGATATGTTCCAAAATGCATCCTTGTATTTTGTATTTATCAAAAATTTCAGGTGACTATAAAAATTAAAGGGGTGAGAATAAGCTCGGGAAAACCATACCCTAAAGTACGACACAACTGGAGGAATTTAGTTCATGTCCCGCTAGTAAGGAGCTAGAAATGACTTTGATCCTTAGTATTAATAATTTTAACGCTGTTCATTCTAAGGTTTGAAATGCTACACCAAAATTGTGAAAAGAAACAATAAATTTCAAGCACTTT